CGTCCATGCAAGCTTGTCGACGATCAGGTCAAAAATGTGTTAAATTCGATCAGGTTATTTAAAAAATTGACTTATGTTTCGATTACTTGTGAAGTCTTTACAGATGTAAGTGACACAAACTATAAAGATTGTGTGTACGAATATACTAAAGTCATTATGGATGTCCTAAGATTTTTAAACCCTATAGGAACTTTACTCGAGCCCCAACGCATTAGTCCTAGCCACTCAACCCAGTGGTGATGGTACACGATCTTAGCACTCAACCAGGTGGTGACAGCTCGAAATCATAACCACTCGACCAAATGGAGATGGCTTGGGACCACCATTGTGAGGCTTCACAAAAGAGTGAAGAGATGGTTCCAGTTTCTAAATTGTGTAGGTCTCGGCACAAGTCCTCTAAGATAGTTGATAGGAAAATCGTATGACTAGCTCCTAGGCTTTATGAAGAGGAAGGAAAGATCTCACAAAAATGAGGTCAACAAACCCGCGAGCCATTGCAGTTCTAATAATGGTCTGTGTGTATATTGGCAGAGGGTCAACTGCCCTTTTTCTTTTTCTTTTGGGGCATACCGCAGTACCAAGCCATATTGGCCTTTATTTATATATTTTTTGTTGGCTTTACTTTATATCATGTATGCGAATTATTTACTTGAGTTCGCACTAAAAATTGCATGTTTTTCATAAGTTTTTTCTATGATTGTGAGCTTAGGTTAACCGAGATAATTTCGTTTGGCTCTTGGAATACATTTTCTACCCAACCTAGAAAGTTAAACATCGATTTTCAAAATCAAACTCACAACTTGTGTAAGAATAAAAACTCTTAAACATAATAGAAAAATGAATCGCACTTTAGACATTCACATTTGCACACATATAAATACTAGAGAACATAAATAAAATCGATTAGAAATAAGAAATTAACTAGTTGAAACCATATGCATATATATCACATTGCTTTTCTTCCTTCTCATAAGGTTTTCACCTATTGTACGTAAGGGAGATCAGAACTGTAAGGATCATCGTCCTTAAGGAGTGAAATGTTTTTCATGACTTAGCCTTGAGATCTTACACACATGCATTGTATAAGGACTGCATAACCTCTGTCACAACATTCATTGCACAATCAAAATAATAATGATTATTTAAAATGAATTAATTTAATATTTTTCAGGCGAGTTGTAAGTCTTTAAGGGGTTAAATTTGTCTTTCATGATATATCCCTACGATCTTCCACACATACATCATATTAGGACTGCATAACCTCTCTCACATCCTTCACTGCAAGTCAAAATTATAATAATCATTTAAAATGAATTAACTTAGTCTTTCTAGATCAATCAAATCCGATTGATCAAGTCACTCATTCTTCTATTGACTTAGTTGATCGTATCATATAGATTCAAACAAAAAATACAAAGTTTTAAAATATAAAGTGATTGCTTTAGTTAGGTGTATATATTTGCCCGGGCTGCTCAATTTTCATGATCAATCCATAAGTTCAAATGCATCTCTTTCTAAATTACAACATACCACTCTTTACGTGCATATGGAGAAAATTTTCCATATGGAGGCCAGACGTAGCTCTATGTACAGACTCTAGTAATATACTGTCATATGTGTTATATCGAGTCCCTCTAAAAAAAATATTAAAGTGAAAATGCGGAGGTTATTGGAGTGAAACCGCGGAGGTTATTGAAGTGGAACTGCAGATGTTATTGGGAAGTTATTGGGGGGTTATTGAGGAATTAACTCCAATAACGCCGCAATAACCTCCAATAACCTTTGCGATTCTACTCTAATAACCCCTACAATAACCCACGCAATAACCCCCCAATAACCCAAATAACCCCCCAATAATCTCCGCACTTTTACTTCAATAACTCTCTGCAATAAACCCAAAATAACACCACAATAACCTCCGTGGTTCCACTTCAATAACCCCCTGTATTAACTCCCACAATAAACCCCTAATAACCGCCTAATAACCTCTGTTGTTTCACTTCAATAACCCCCAATAAACACCGCAATGTAGCACACGTGACAGCATATTACTGGAATTCACACGTAAATTTACGTCTGGACTCCTTATGGAAAATTTTCTGTGCATATGACTATCATCATAATTTTAAAGCATATTCAAGTGGGTTGTAAGACCAGAAGAGTCGAGATGAATTTCACAACTCGATATGAGTGAAGTACATAAGTCCCATTTCTTTAAATTATGTTTGAATATTTATCTTATTGGTAGAACTCACCTTATATTAGATTTTAAGATGATCCAGCTGTCTTTTCCATAGGACTAACTTCTCATAAGCTTTTCGATTGCCCGACCATTTTGTTGAATATGAGCTATAAAATTCTAAAAATTGTATCAAACTAAAATATCATTTCAATTCCTAAATTATAAAGCCCAACCATATAATAGACTGGAGTAACCAAAGGATCTCCAATATCTGGTGCTTCCTACTCCTTGCACATTGGTCTCTAACAAGAATAGTTCTAGTTTGAGTCATTTCTTTTTCAAATTTTGAATAACAATCTTGATATTTACCACCGTAATCCGTAAAAATGAATATCTATTTTTTTTAATTGAAAGTTTTCTTAGAGAATACCATTTCCTGAGATATAATTAAATCAGAGAGTTTTGCCTCTCTAGGGATACTAACCCTTGATTTAAAATAATTTAAAATAAGTTAGGGGAAAATTTTTTGGTCTACAGCTCCATAGAATAGTAAAACAATTACATACAATATTATTTTCAACCCTTAGGATGATATATTATTTTCTTAATGTCGTATTAAATCACATTTGAGAAATTTCAAAACTCCAGTAAATGGTCCCCCATAAAATGCAGACACTACTACCCTATTAAAAAATAAAAAAATAAAAAAAATTACAAAACCTAGTGATGCGGGACTGTTTATAGCCCTTCAGGCCGAGCGAGGCGGGAAGCTAGTATAGCCTTCTGCTGGAACGGACTGGTCCAATTCCACTTAAGGTGGACGTTCTGCCTCTCCTCCTCCCGTGTCCGATTCGTTCCTTCTCTTCTTTCTCCCCTGTTCCCTATTCTTACGCACTCGTTCAATCCCTTCCATTTTCACCCCCTTTTATACATAGATCTTGCCCTTGCTAGCTGCTAGTTTTGCCCTATTTATAAAAGTTGCCTAGTTCTAACCAATTTTCATTGTTTAATGATTTCAGTTGAGCCTTCATGGCTTCTCCCTTCCGAGGGTTGTATCCAACAGCAAGCGGTACTCCGGTTGTACCTCACCTGAGGTTCTGACTAACTCAGCACCTCCCGCACTCCTTCGCTGCCTCTGACAGATCGTCGGACAACGCCTTTGTCTTCCACGACCCTCGCTCGGCAAGCATCTTGCATCTTATGGCTCCCCGACTGGCCCCTTCAGCAAGCCCTGCTAGTCCGCTAAAGCTTCACAAGTCTTCAGCAAGCCGTAGACTTCTCGGACGTCGTTTAGCAGCACACCAGCCACCTTCCCGTCGGATGTCCACCATCTGGGTTTCTGCCAGTAGGCCCGCAAGTCATTCCCAACGCCTCACACTAACCGCCGAACCCTGCTGGTCTTCCTACGCTCGTCTCGAAGAAGCTAGCTGACAGTCCGTCCTCCCAACATTCCACCCTCCACCCAAAGCTATTGTGATCCACGAGAGAGAACTGTTCCTGTCCTTTTGTTATTTCTTTTAGTCTTGATTTATGCACTTGTTGTCGTTATTATTCTGTTTCTTGTATTATCTTCTTGCAATTGTTTAAAGTCAGCAATAAAGATTGTGTCGTTTAGTCGTGGTTTGGTTTGACTTCGGTATCACCTAAAAATATTCAACCAATAATAAATCATTTTAAACTTGAAGCAACTTTTCATACATCATTCACACTAATTTATTAAGATGACAAATTTAAATTTGCTCAAAGGTTGCAAAAAAACATTGTGATATCGAATATGTCAATGTATTCATTTTTAAAAGTTTCTTATTAATAATAACATGATAATCACATTTTAATCGAGAAATTTGTCACAAAATGACACCAATGTAATATGATTACAATAAAAGCACGCATGTTTCCTAATAGCATAATCTTCAAGTTGTGAACCATAAGGCGCACTTGATAATGCATAAATCCCACAGTCACTATTGACATAAAATTCTCCCGAGGCAATCATCTACCATTACTCTATAAGATTTTCTTGAATGATGCAACTCAAGGTTGTTGATAATGATTCCTCAATTAAATTGGCTTGACTATTTTCACTTACTAAGAAAACCTAGATCTAAGATAACCTGAGATGATGAAATAAGAATATTTTGATTAGATTCGTCATCATTCTCCACCATCTACTTAAAATTATTGATAGCATATTTTCCTATTTCCTAAATCGAGTCATTGCTATCCAAAAACTAATATTTAAAATCTAATAACTAGCCTAAAAAAAAAGGTTCTCTCATAAGTGAGAGAAGTAATTAATCATAAAATCTCGTGTTTATGAAAAATCTCAAACAAGATATAAGTTGTTGCAACATGGGAATGAAATATCTGCAGCATGAGAGTGAAATATTTGAGTAATGTTTTATTTAATATTCAATCTAAATTTCTAAAAAATTTACCTAGACCTAGAACGACTCATCTATATTAAAAGATTTGGGTGAATAATTTCAAAGCCTGTGGAATTTTATGAATATCATATGTGAACTTGGAAGCTGCACAAAATTGTAATGCATTAAAAACTCATGGAAAATGGGCATGACTAAGATATAAGAAGGCACAAAGCACAGTTTAAGACAGTACATGATGGTGCCCTGCAAACCACCAACAACTGAAACATCAACAAAATGGAAATAGATTTAAAACTGACAAGTATTCTATTGGATTTGACTAAACAGGAACATGTAGAGGCTCTTTGTGCTCTTCTACAGGTCGGTATAAAATAATAAAACATACAAATTCTAAGCATTTTCATTTTAAGAATATAAACTCTAGTACTTACTGAAATGTAGAATAACAGGTTCTGCATGAAATACACGTCCAACGCCATGGCCAACAAATTGCCGAACTACACCAAACTTGAATTTATTTGCACGATCGCTTCAAACAAAAAATTAAAAGAAAGGTCTCTTAATAATCAAATAATCTTTTAAAACATCCATTAAAAGGTAAATAAATCATTAAAAGAATCTGAAAACATATGAAGAAGAAACTGGTGGTGAATTAACAGTTAAAACTCATAAAACATTGCAACCATCTTAAAATGTTTGCAAGTGTCCAAACAAACTTATAAAATAAACCAACTCAAAGACAGGCATATCCAACATGGAATATCATGAGAAGAAGCATGTTAAGACCCCTAAAAAAAATAAAAAAAACATGCACTAAATGGATCGAAAAGTGAATACCTCTCAAATTTTATTTATTTGGGGTTGGTTTTATCAATACTCGTTCTACATTCATCTAATTTAAGTATTGCACGAGGTTTTAAACCTATATTGCATAAAACTTTTGCAAAACTTCCATCCATATTATGTTCACCCTAATTCGTATTTTAATTCTTTCATTTAATATTATCTAAGGTAAGAAATTGGTTGATCTAATATTTCATTTTTGTGAGATCAGTCATAAGTCTCAAAGATCTAGAGCTGGAATAATACCATTAAATAAATAAAAAAAATAATAATAATAAATACCATGTGAGAACCATAAAAAGATGTCAAAGTAAGATCAGTCATACAAAGCTAAAAGACTAAAAAATAAGTCCAACTCACTCCCAATTTAACATAACAAGTAGCCCACAATCAAAATTTATTAATCGAAAGTCTTCTGTAATCTCATCATTTAAAGCTTCTTTATTAAATCATAATTACGTTTAATTGCTTTCTCTCCTCATTCATCCTCAATTGTGTCAACATTCACGTAATCTTCCTCTCATCTTCAATGTCAATATTTTCATCTTCTCCAAATAAAAAAACTAATTAACATAATAAGTAAATTTTAAAACAATGACAATATTGATGATTCTAATTTCTATAACATCAACTTTTATACTAATAGTTTGTTACTCGTTGATTTGTATCGGTCATATTCCTTCCTCTATTAAGGAAATAAATTCTTAGAACTTCATCTTATAATTATGATGGCATAATTTCATTTTCTCCATCCACAAACCATGAGTTATTCAATGTCACATTAATAATAAGAAATAGATAAAAATTCACCATTCTTCCAAACTATCTTCATTAAATACCTATCTTTTAATGTCTTATTGTATATAATATAAATCATCAAGTTCTTAATTAAGGTGGTCAAACTATTTCTTCTCTTGATATGAACTTGGTTATAAGTAATACAATTTCAATCAACCCAGATGACGAGCATACAAGACCAATAATTGGATTGCAAATCTTACTAATTCAATAGTCATCTCCAAATTGAATCAACCACTCCATTGATTTTAAAAACGTAAATAACATAGTACATAAATTTAGGAAAAATAAAACTACCTGATAAATGTTAAAGTTACCGAGATAAAGTCTCACTTAATATCTTTGGCATGTTGTAATCCAAAAAATTCTTTTATATTTTTAGAAGCTACAAGTTGAACATCAGCTTTCACCCTATATGCCAAAGAAACAATCAATCTATATATATAATGATACAGATCAAATTTAATATCAAAATTGATGACTTGTTCTCAACATATTGAAATTAATGTTTAAGAAAATTTCTAGTGGCGAATAATTAACAATGCAACTGAAGTCTCCATTTGTCATTCATGATTTCCAAGTTTCCTTGTAAATGCACTCATATCCACCTAAACCTTTTTTATCAACTCTTTTGTCACATCTATTGTATAATAAATGAAACTCATAACAGCTTTTTCTCCACCTATGGGCCAAGGGCTTAGTACCCATAATAGCACAAAATTACACTTCGTAAGTATAAAGCTCCTTGGTCATAATCTAGTCACCAATCAGTAGAAAGTATTTAACAACTTTCAAAATTATTTAAATATCAAAATATTACATAATACTAATTATAATTTTGCCAAAGCCAAAGTACCAAGTGCAAGAGTGATCATTTGCTTTATAATAGAAATAATACTAAAAAAAGGTTCGCCCTTGATGAATACACTGAAGTCATTGTTAATTTTATCTTCTTCATCAACCTCCTTAACAGGTATTGCACATTGTTAATTTTATCTTCTTCATCAACCTCCTTAAAAGGTATTGCAATGCATGTATGTATCAAATATATCAGCTATTTTCTCGTCTTTTGTGATATAAAAAATTAAAAAATATTCAGGATTTTGATCAGTTCATTTTCCATCTTCTATCAATCATTTCTGAAATCAGGCTAAGCTAATCATCATTGCTAAATCTAACAACAATTAGCTTTAGATATATACTCCATTTCTCCATCAACCAATCATCAATATTTTATAGATGATATTTCACCAAAAAAAAAAAAAGAAAGAAAAATGCATGGCATGAAATAATGAAAGTGATGATTTTAATCCATTTGAGATTGCAGCCATCTCTCGCATCAAAATAATTAAAATTGTTCGGAATGCCATTTATTTAAAACTCCAATGCCATTGCTCCATTACAAATCATACCCCATACTTGTTATTGTTAAAATTTTATGAAGCTTATTGCCATTATATAAAGTTTTCTCCATGATCCTTCTTTGAGGTTTAGGGTGCTACTTTGAATTTAGTTTTAGCAAGCAAAGGATTATGGCAAATTTTATTTAAAGATAATCAGAAGTATATACTACTGTAAATTTAGCTAAACTTTCCCTTAGAAACTATTGTGGTGTGTTTGATAATCTGAGAAGACTAACTATAAATTGGAAAATATTATATTGTACGAAGGTCAGTGAATAACAACAAGAAATCAAAACTATCATTTTACCCAGATGAATTTGGACATTGAGAAAAAATGGGTGCGGGAAAATACTTTATTGCTTTGCCAATTCTGTTGTACTCCACTCCCGGTGCACAGATTGATACTGCTCTGTCCAAGCATTCTTTTGTTACCTGAAGATTTTTGCCATTTAAAAAGTATCATGATAATTTGATATAGAGAAGTCCGCAAATTTTTTTATCACTGGAAAAAATATCAAGTGAGATATACCTAGAAGGAGAATCTCTACCAGGCTAGTAACATTTCACGGTAAGTTTGGCAACCATTTGAAAAGCCAACAATTAAATGACTACTCTAAGATGATCAAAATATCTGCTTCTTCATTTTCTAATTAGATTAATCAAATATAGAGTTTTCATATTATAAGCAAAATTCAAATTCACCAAAATGCTAAAATTAGAGCAGTACACTCATCTAACAAGATAAGCAAAAAGAATGTAACAAATCACTAGCCAAATACATTTCAAATTAAGAGTAATCATTAGACTGGGATAGATAGTTATACACAGAAAAAACAAATCCACTAGGAGTTCCTCTCACTTACTCTGGCACTTCAACAAGAGCAGCATTGACAAAGGTGAATCATAACCAACATGAACAAAATTAGTTGATGTCTACTCAAATACCATCTGAAACGAAATTTACATAGTTAGAGAATGGTGGGCCATTTCTTTTAATAAAAATTTCTTAGAATTTTTTTTTCCTTAGAAAGGGTAGTAGGTTTCTAAGAGTGTTAGAGGTTGCCTATAAATACCCATGTCTTCTATTAGTTCATTACAATCAAATATCACCACTTGAATCACATCCTGTTCCCTTTTATATCTTATATCCTCCGTCGGGTCCACAACAATAATAATTTTTTTAAAAGAAAGCCGGTCAAACCACTCTATTATGCTGAAGACTATGACGCCACCAACCTGAGCATAATAGCCACTCTTTCTTGCATATACATTATTCACAATGCATGTCATAGTTTAACATTACATGTCATACTCAACATTCAACTCATCACATTAATTGCTGTATATATAAAGTTCATATACTAAAAATAAAATAGTGAGAATACAATAGTACATTCAACTCATGTATATAAATCATTACAGGTAATGTTGAGAAACTTTTTGGGCATTTATAAAAATACCACACAATTAGTACACATTTACATACCTAACACCTAATTTTTCATATTTACATATATAACACTAAAAACTTTAATATCACATCAAAAATACCACTATTACTAACTTTATGTAAAATTTTATGACACTAAAGTGTAGTAAACGTAAATATCAAATTTTAGGGGTTAAATATTTAAATTCATAAGAATTGTGTGGTATGTAAGTACATTTTACTAAAATTTTATCAAATTTTTTAAGATATATATATATATATATATATTAAAAAACATGCCTCAAATAAGTAATCTCCCATAAGAATTTAATTTAATTATTTTGATATGTTTAGAATAGTTAGAGTAACAAAATACTAAAATTTGCATTAGTTAATATTTTCAAAATACGAAGATATCAAAATTTTTGTAAGTTTTGACGAAATTAAAATTTAGAAAACATACAAAATAGTAAGACTATTGAAAATAAAGATAGGGTAACGAAAGCCCAAATAAAGGCGATCAAATTTTTAAGCTAGCCAGACAAAAGAAAATGAAACCGAAGTCCAAAAACTAGTTTCTCTCTCTCTCGCGCGGTGCTCTCTCTCTAATTCTCCCAAATCTTCCTCAATTTTGGGAATGGCAGAATTTCATAACAAGTTAAGATTATGAAAGAAATTACTCTATACATAAATGAGTTAATTAATGGTATAACTTTAGTTAAAAAATTTGTTTAATTTTAAGTGCAAAGTTGATCTCGAATTCCATAACTCTAAAGACAACTAAAAATGTCATAAAAAAAAATATGGTACATGAAATGCTATTAAGAAAATGGTTTACAAAATAAATACCAGATGACACTAGATAATTAATTTGTATCAACATAATTTTTTCCTAAGATATTTTAGTTAACAATCAATCTTTAGTCTTCATAGTTATAGCGCTCGTTAAAATTCTAAAAATAAATTGTATTAATTATTATTCATAATGCTCTAAAATATGATGACGATGATTTCTAAATTAAGGTTATAATTGATTCAAAAAAATCATTTAAAGTTCTAAGTTAAAATTTTAGCCTATAAATTTTAAGTATTATCTTGTTGCTTTTTAGTAGATCATTTATAAAATAATCCAAAGGTCAAATGAACTTTAAAATGCATCTTAATGGATATATTAAAGCCATAGTTAGTAAAATATATATAGATATTTTAGAAATATATTCAAATAATTAAACCTTTGAGAAAATGTAATTGATTACCAAATACAATGTGCTTTTGAGTATTAGCCTAGACATACAATGAGATGCTTAGCTTATCCCATGACAAGGCATCTCACATACTAGCAATAATCCAAACGTAACAACTATTAAACAAGCTCCAAGATGAACGAGTCTTGGGATCGAAAAGCAACTATACTACAAACCAAAAAAATTTTGTTAAGCAAACTTCAATTAAAACAAAAAATATGTTAATTAGACAGCCAATACTATGTCCATGAAAAAAAAATGATCAAAACCTCATTAAAACCGACTTTCAAAGCCTTAATAAATGATACCGAAGTTAACCCAAACTATAATAGAAAAACAAACATTATTCCTTAAAGCAACTAAGCTATTAGAATCAACACACCTGAAAGAAAAAATATAACAACACGACACCCGGAAATAAAAAATAGCAGCATACACGACACTCATAATCAAACAAAGGTGGAATCTTGGAGATATGATAATGATTAATGATGGTTTGGCCCTCCGATGAGGTAGCAGTAAGTGGGTGAAGGCTTGAAGGCACAGCGACAACAAAGGGTGAGGACGAAGGCAGCGAAGGGGAGGAGTAGCGACAATGGCAGAAAGCTAGAAGGAGAGGAATGCATGGTTGGATGGTTGGAAAAACAGAAAAAAGCAAGAAAAGGCTGTTTCTGGGAGGCTTCAGTGAGGGAAAATGTCGACGGAAGCGACGAGAAATGCAGGGAACTGCAAGAGAGCAAGAGAAAGTCCGTTCAAGATGGTGGCATTGACGACAAGTGGCTGGATTGGGGAAGCTGCAGCGAAAACAACAAGGCGCGGTTGCAACAGTAGAGCTCAGTTGGGAGAGACGGGAGAATGTGAAAAGAGATAGGGATGTTGAACACCATCTTGGGAGAGAGTAGCCGAAGCACCACCAAAACCCTAAAATACAGCCCTCGAAGGGATAAATGGACGTCAACAATTGTCCTGACAGAAACTGAACTAAAATTGAATTCAAACCCTAATACAACACATATAAGTAAAAAAAATAAAGGATAATAGGAAAAAAAAAAATAGCAATGAAAGCTGGACTATTTCAACCCATCTCATGTGACTGCAAAATCTAGTGGTACTGTAGCAGCTATAATGTCTCGCCTGTGATATTATAGTTGACAGCTACATTACCGCGCCCACAATAAGTTCCTGCATCAATCTCCCGGGGTTGGGGGAAGCTTCAACCTCATCCTTCTAAGCTTCTGTCTCCTCACCATATTGCGTTAGGTTGACTACATTAAAGGTGGTGGAAGCATTGTGATATACTGGTAAGTCAATCATGTTCGCTCTGACATTCCAAATCACATCTTAATAGAATATGTATCTACCATATTTTGGAACAATCATAACTGGAGCTGTACGTGGATAAGTATCCCCACGAACCAAGTCTCGAGCCATTAAATTTGTAATTGGTTTCTTCCACTCTCCGTACTTGTCCGAGTGTATTTGATAAACAAGTAAAGAGGAATTAACTATGAGGTAAAATCTATGGCAGAATGCACCATTCTCAGTAGCAACAACTCAGGAGAGATTTCTTCATGATGATGGGTATCATGACTTGAAAAAAATCTTTCCCCATTAAGCTCCTAAGACAAATTTCAAGGCCAGGGTTCACCCCTCTTGTCTGAAAATTTGATGATGGGTATCATGATGAATAGAATCTATCATCTGAATAACTCCCTGTAATCTTCCAGTCATGACACAAAAATGCCCCATTTCTAATGTGTTGGACCTCCCTTAGTAGGAGCAACTCAGGAATGAGTCTATAAATTTGAATGGTCTAAATTTTTCTTATTTTGAGTTGTCATGCCTTTGGTGTCAGTTCCTTGAACTCAAGACTGCCTTGGACAGTCATAGTCAAGTTTGTTGGAGTCTTTCCTATTGGCTCAGCTGAAACCATGTGCATCTTTCCTCCCCAACTCGGGCTGTTCCTCCTTTGTGATCGTCTTCAATGTCTACTATGTCATTACCCGAATTTTCAAGTATGCCTTGGTCAATGAAGAGATCACCCCCTGATTATGCAACATGATTCAACATGCCTAGGTCAGTGGCACTTGCAACACTTCACGGCTATGACAGATTAAAGAATGCAGATTGGTTTCACCTTTCTCCACTCCGAAGTTTTTCATCTAACGAGGTCATCTTGGGTTTTCTCTTGGGTTTCATCTAACAGTAAGATCCTGATGTTGAACTCTGCCTGTAAGAATGTGATGGTCACTTGGTGATGTGGTCT